CTTCAGTCAACAAAGAATTGACAATTCTAGGCCAATTTCAATAAACACAAAACCCTCAGATAGTAACAAAATGCAGCCACTAGTATAGAAGAAGGATGATGCCTCCTGACCATGAGAGGTGTGTCCTAGGAATAAAGGATGAATGTGACATTTGTAAATGAAGCCAGATTAACAGACTAAATGCCAACGCCATGGGGTCCTGCTTGGGCTGCGGCTCAGTGGTAAAGGGCTCTGCTGCTGTGCATGAGACCTCGGGTTTGAGCCCAGCACCATTGGAAACAAAAGCAAGCAAACAAAAGCCTATGTGATCATCTCAGGAGATGGCAGAAAAACATTTAATACAATTTATATATTTGTTTGCTTTTTTTATTTTTTAAAAATTAAAAACATTTTAGGCCAAGTCTCACGTGGCCTGAACTGGTCTTAAACTCACTATGTAGGAGACACTAATCTGGAACCCCTGATTCTCCTGCCTCCACTTGTTAAGTGTATGGAATTACAAGTGTGTGACATCAAACCTGGCTTAATCATTTTATTTGTACAAGTTAATAGTGCATACTGTGATAATTCAATATGTGTGTATATTATGTAATGTTCAAATCAGAGCAAATAACATTTCTATCTCAAATATTAGTGTTTCTGGGTTAGCACATAATAGTGTCTGTCCTTACAGGGTGTGGAATGGTGCCTCACTGCATGTGCACAGTGTGTGCTGCAACCGGTCAAGCTCCTTCTTCTCATCTCATTTTGAGCCTTTGGGCGCCTCTCGGTGTAAGGTGAGCTGTGGCCCCCACCACAGACACACACTACACTGCAGGGCACAAGAACTTCCTCTTTCTGTTTTGGGATGCGCGTTTGCTCATCTGTTTATCGAACTACCCCTTGCTATTCTCAGCTTCTGGCAATCACTATTCAAAGAACATGTGAGAGCCTGTGTGGTGGTGTGGTGTGTGTGTGTGTGTGTGTGTGTGTGTGTGCACACGCATATTGAGGCCAGAGTTCCACACTGGTGTCTTTCTCAGCCACTATCTAGCTGTCAACATGCTTATTTTTGATAATTTAATACACAAATGCATTGGATTCATATCGCTCCACCTCATCCTTCTCCCTGGTCTGTTCTTCCTGTATCTTTCAAATTCTTGACCTCTTCTACAATTATTACTGTTTTACACACACACACACACACACACACACACACACACACACACACACACATTGTAACCACCCGGGGGCCAAGCCTTCAGACACATGAGCCCCAGGAACATTTCTCATTCAAATTGTGTCAGTCGCTCACTAAACCTGGAGTTCACCAATTCAGCTGTGCTGACTGGCCAGGCAGCCTCAGTAGTCTGCTTTCACCCTCCCTTCCACCAACTCTGAGTTTACAGATGTGCACTACTGCGCCTGTCTTTTTACACGGTGCTGGGAATCCAAACTCATGCTCTTACTATGTGTCCTGGCTAGCTTATTACTCACAGACTGGCCTTGAACTCATGGAGATCTGCCTGCCTTTTTTTTTTTTTTCTGAGTGCTGGCATTAAAGGAGTGTGTCATCATGCCCAAGATTCCGTTTTTACAGAACTCTAAGCTAAGTAGACAGTTCTGAAAGCTGTAGAGATCAAGTATGATATTTAAACATCAGTTGTTTACAGTCTTGCGCAGCGCCACTAAGATGAAAGGTTAGACACATGTTGGGTATTTACAGCATTATCCATACGAAAACTACAGATCATTGGTGTAAGGAATGAGACATCTCAATAAATGCACACAAACCCTGCTCATGTGTTGAAAGATTCCCTTACTTTAAGGTATTCTCACTCCCCAAAATAATGATTCAATATTGTTATTTTTTAAAGAATTTGACAGCCCGATACTAAAATTTACATGAAAAGAGCTAGAATTACCAAAAGAAATCTGAGAAGGAAAACAAAGGTGATCTGACCTGATTTTTAGACCTTCAGGAAGACTGTAGTGTCAGCAAGATGCTAATGTTATTGAAAAGATGTAATTGTAGACTAATGGAACAGAAAGAAAGACCAGATGCAGGTTCAGTATGAATATAGCCATTTGATTTTCACACAAAGGCAGACAAAGGGAATTCAATAAAGAAAAAAAAAAAACATTTCAAAAATTAGTGATATAAAATGTGGACATTATTTTAAGAGAAAGAAGAGTGGTTCTACACATACCTCACTTGGGTCTTATATGGAAATTGACTCAATGTGAATCAGAGTTCTAAGTATGAAACATTAAATGATAAAAGTACTAGAGGAAAACACAGGGGAAAGTCTTTATAACTCTGAGCTTGACCAAGAGTTCTAACATGACTTCAAATCATGACTGTTAGAGTTACCTCTTAAGTACAAATTGTATTATATCATATGATCTGATGCATCTAACTATGAATAGCAATGCCATTCCAATAGCTTGAGACAGTCTAAGAGTCTGGGCATCATACCTCTCAAACTGGGACTGAAAGACAGCTAAACTCTTTAGTATACACAATTTTGGAGGAATGAACAGAATTATAGAAGATAGCAGGTAAGCAGATCAATACAACAGCATTGCTTTGCACACCAAGCCTTCTGGTTTAAAAGGGGAGAACGGTTGAGTTTAAGTGCACGTAGCAGTTTAGACTGATGTCTCAATAGACTGCTGTGAACTTGCCAAGCCTTTAGCTCTTAGTTGTTTCTCAGTCCAGGCAAACCAATGATTCAGATGTGCTATCACAGTATAAAGCACGTTTGAGTCTCTGCTAGATGTCCATTAACCTCCTTCATTCTACTCATGTTATCCAAAGCTAGTCACCCACCCTCAGTGGGTGTCCATTTTATGCTTTGGAAAATGGAGCCATCCTTACTCTGTCATGACATTTAAAGCATTCAGTGGGGTACCCAAACGCAGATTCCTACATCACTCTTGAGTGCCTATTTGTGTGGGGGTGGGGTGGCTTAGTTACTGTTATAACCACATTTCAGCATACATTGTTGGCAGGAAAAATAGGCTGCCTGTCATTTCTCTGGAAGATATTTACGTTGAATGGAGGGTGCTTCATAGTCACCTATGAAAAGTATTTATTGAACATCTGTTGCTTGCAAAGTGTGAGACACTGTTGCGAAATCAAGAGACAGTAAAGATGAATGCAGTGTGGCTCCTAGCTTTGCAAGAGGACAGACTGACAATGCAGATCATTGTCGCTTTTTGATCTGTTGTTTTGTTTTCTAATGTGCGTTGGGAAGTAACAGAGGACTAGATTGCCAAGTCTTCATTTTATGCTCAGGATATCTTAAACCTTGTTATCTATAATCATGACATTTTATGTTAAAAGAATATTTTAATTCCTAAAATATGAAAGGCAAAAAATTCAGAATAAAGGAGGATTCTTTAAATTTTAGTAAATATAATAATATTAATAAAGTTTGATACAATGTCAAACTGACTGTCTTGCTGAAATTAAAACCAATGCCTTGAGAACCTCTTCTACATGGCTTCCTAAATGTCGTCTCTATAAGATGACATATGGCTACATGTTGACAGATTTTGAAATGAAACTCTGCTAAAGAGAAGTGTTGTTGGCACCAATTGCTCTAAAAAAAAATTCCAGTAATATAGGACTGAGGATGAACTTGGCATGGTTCATTGTTTAGATCAGGGTGTGGTCCAAGAAAATTTTCATTGACCTGTAGGTCCAGGCCAAAGAAGAACAAAGAAATGCCTTTGATAAAGGACTTACTTTTCCTTTTTCTTGGTATATTAACAATTTAGATTGATAAAATTTGCTCTAGGGGTAATGTTACCTTGCCATATAGAAAAAAAATTAATAATAAGGTTCTAAGAAGTTCCCAATGCCTGAAAATTTAGAATTTCCCAACATTTCAACATTTGTTTCAAAGTCTCAGTGCTGAAGAGCAAACCTGCCCTTTACAAATACATTAAGGCTAGCTTCATCAAGTGTGCCTAAGTACAGCTTTTCCCCACATCTTGGCTTCAAAGTAATTGTAATATTGATTGTTATTCTTTTTTATTTTAATTTTATTTTTATATTAATCACAGGTTGTTTACTTTGTATCCCAGCCATAGCCTCCTCCCTTATTCCATCTCAATTCCACCTCCCTCCCTTATCTCCTCCCTGCCCCTTTCCAAGTCCACTGCTAGGGGAGGTCCTCCTCCCCTTCCATCTGACCCTAGCTTATCTCCAGGACTGGCTGCCACGTCCTCCTCTGTGGCCTAGCAAGACTGTTCTTCCTGGGGGGGGGGGGGGGGGGGGGGTTAAGGAGCTAGCCATAGAGTTCATGTCAGAAATAGTTCCTGTTCCCCTTACTAGGGAAACCCACTTGGATACTGAGCTACCATGGGCTATATCCGAGCAGAGGTTCTAGGTTATATCCATACATGGTCCTTGGTTGGAGAAACAATCTCATAGAGGACCCCCGTCCCTGATATATTTTGTCCTTGTGGAGCTCCTGTCCTGTCCAGGTCATACTAACTCCCCTTTCTTTCATATGATTCTCTGCACTCTGCCCAAGGTTTGGTTATGAGTCTTCATATCTGCTTTGATACACTGCTAGGTAGAGTCTTTCAGAGGCTCTCTGTGGTAGGCTCCTGTCCTGTTACTTGTTTTTTCCTACTTCCCCTGTCCATCCCATTTGCCTTTCTAAGTGAGGATTGATCTTATCCCGGGTCCTCCTTCTTGTTTATCTTCTTCTTCTTCTTCTTCTTCTTCTTCTTCTTCTTCTTCTTCTTCTTCTTCTTCTTCTTCTT